GCTAGAGATGTGTGAATAAACTGATTGATATTGCTGCCATAAGCTGCCGGATAATCCCTCAAAGTCTGGGAGCCGCAAATAGAAGGCAGATAACTATAATTGCAAAGGGGGAATTCAAGACATATTAAAATGGGAAACTCATGGCAGCCCAAAAAGTAGTATATAGTTGAAAGAAGCGAATAAAATGATTTTCACACATCTTCATACTCTGCCAAAACACTTAACCCCAAAACCCCGGCAAAGTTCATCAACTTTCCCGCTTTACCTTTCCCCAAAAAACAGAAGAAAAAAAACTCTCTCAACACCTGCAAATTGATTGAAACGCAGCCAAAAGCGGTGAAAGAAGAAAAACAGAATGAAAATATTACGAAACTTCGCTTTCGCAGCGAGCAACATTTCGATGCGCCAAAAAGCAACCATCTTGCCAAGCCCCCCGGAAAATCCCCCTGAAACTGACACGAATGGGAATATAAAAGGTAAATAATGTGACCTTTGAGAGCATCAACTGCGTTAGGTAATGGGCCGGGCCAGAAAAACAAAACTGAAACTGAAACTGAAATCACAAGCGGAGCGGTATCCGAAAAACTGGATACCTAAAAACAACAAGCGGCAGATTCGTTGAATTATGAAAGAGCACGGGAAATAATATGTTTCCTTTTTGTTGTAAAAGTTTTTCGCTCATAAATAGGCTGGTTTTCCCCACAGCCGCAGTTCCCTTTTTGCTAAGGGGAAGTTAAATTTATAGAGGTTAATTCCATTATACAGATGTAGAATCTGCCCAATAAGTTCTGACCCATAATCCCTGTCAGGGCGAGTTATGTGAAGAGTTGTCGGAAATCTCCGGGCCCAAATGAGTTTCGAGGATTTGCTTTTATTGCCTTGGCGCCTGCGCATTGTATCGCCACTTTTTCCGCCTTTTTCATTTCATTATGTGTACTTTGGATGCTGCCTAGATCTCAACATCGTCGAGGTTATAAATTATTTATTGCCTTTTGATACACGATGACTTGGAGTTCGAAATTTGGGGTTGGGCCATTGGAGTTGGTCGCATGTGCGAGCACATTTCTTGCTTACTTCATTAAGTCGCCCGGGCCAAGTCATAAAATCTGATATGACCCTCTCTTCATTCTGCGCTCTAGCTGTCTCTTTCGCCGCCCCCTCTGTCTGTCTCTTTCTGCGGCTGCCTGGCAAGTATAATTTCCGCACATTTTCACGTTTTGCACATTTCCGCTGCATACTTTTGTGCGCCCTGGCATTTTGATGACGCTTTCGCCTGCGGATCGCCCAACCAAAGCCTCCTTTCTCCTCTGTCTCCTCTTTCTCCCATTTCTCCTCTTTCCCCCCTCCCCTCATTTTTTTATTGTATTTTACACAAATTCGTCGGTGGCTAGAACTACAGCTCTCCGCTGTTGTTGCTGGCATTTTAACGAGTTAATGCAGGACATGCAAAATGGCCAACATTTTGAATTCATTGAACTTTTACCCGACGCTTCGGCTGTTTTTGGTTTGGTTGTTGCCTGTATTTTTTTGTGGCTGTTCGGTTGCTTTGGTTATACGTGTAAGTTTCATTTTGCACAATAAGTATCTGATAAATATTTTTGAATTCTTTGAGTCCAGACAACTTTTTTGTTATTAAAACTAATTTATAGAATTTTATCAAGTTGTTAGTTGTCACCCATTTTGTTAGCAACTTTAAGATTTCTCAAGGAGGTCAAACAAAATGAGAGCATATCCTTAAAAAAAACTTTAAGAGCGAACAACAAACTTTCTAAGTATGTTTTCCAAAGTTTTTATATTTTTAATCCTTATAAAAAAGTTAAAATAACATCATTGATGATCAAGAAGGCTTAATCCCCATATTACCCATATTAATGAGTTGTTAAACACGCCAAGGAAAAACTAATTTACCCGGAAAAGCATAAATACTTAGTCCACAAATGAAAAACCCTTAAAATAGCCTGTCACCCTTCTGGAGGGAAAAAACCTCATTAGTAAAATGTATAATTTTCTTTTGCCCGACGCTCCTTTTCTACACATTCTTCCACTTCAACTTTATATTGTTCCCATTCTTTTTTTGCCCCCCGCTTAATTTATTGTGCATATTCCACCATTCGCTTCTTGCGCCACCGTTCTTTGTCATATACATTGTACATTTTACACTTTGCCCGCTCATTTCTTGCACTTAAGAGGTTTCCCCACTTTTGCTCCCCCTAAAAATTATTATTGAGCCGAGAAAACTCGTTGAATCCGATGCTGTTTTGGCTTTTTGCAACCCTCGTGGCCAAATGCCTCCTCATTGGGGGCATTTTTAATGAGTCCTATGCAAATATATCGTTAGACCTAAGTGTGTATACGTGTTGTGTCTTGGCCCGATAAGCGAACCAAAGGATTCGCCAGGACAGCCTTTGATTATGGCCAGCCACCAGCATCCACTGAGGAAAATCACAGGGGGTCGGAAAACTAGACGCCAAGGCCCAGAGGGCGATGAAAAACGCCGCTGAGTGGCTAGTGGGCAGTCGGAATAAAAAATTATAATAAACCCCGAAAAATTTCAATCTCAATCGTCAACAAGTTTCGCCTCCTCGAACTGCTTTTCCCCCCCGTTTTTCTACGGCACTCAACTTGCTTCAACTATTTTCCTATGCAGCGGGGTTAGGGTGGTTAAGAGGGAAAAGTCTCAGGCAGCCGAGGGTTAATGCATGAACGAAATTCATGGTAAAACTTGAGCTAAATGCGCCCAGGAAACAGTACACGGAAAAAAATATTAAAGTGCACCGGTTTCTGATATTATATGGACAATGTAACGTTTTATTTAAATATATGTATTTCAAGAATTTTGAACAAAAATTATGTAAATTATGTAAAATTATGTAATTTTATTATGTAAAGATCTGGTCTTCTAAAAAGAATCAATTAGTTTCAAATCAGAGGTGCATTTTTTTCCAGTGTAACTGACCAGAAATCGGATAAAATGCCGTTGCCGTGTCCCTTTTTCGACCAGGCCAAAACCGACTCGACCCTCTCTTTCTATCTCTATCTCTATTTACCTCTCTCGCTCTATCTCCTTTTTCCCGTTTCTCTCTTTTATGCTTTTTTGGCTGTTCTCTGATGAAAACTACTCAGCGACATGAAACTTAACTTAAAAAGTTTTGCACTTTCATTTTGTAAATGAAATGTTGGTGCTGTTGTTGTTGCGAAATAACAGGAAAACAATTTGGAGCGGATAATGAATATGGGTTAGGTTTAGTGCATATATGTAGGATTGTGTGTAAGGATGCATGTGGCCAGGGAATATTGCTTTTGTGAGAGCGATTCCCTCGCTTTTTCCGGAAAATAGGACCCTCAAAGGCGGGGGGCAAAGAGATACGGAGGGGGGAGGCTACGGAGCAATGAAGTGATGAATGCATTACTATATGGATGAGTGATGACGGAGCTCAGTAAATGTTCATGGGCCCATGCACTTGGGGCTGCTGCCAAAAATGCATAGTAAACAAGGATCAAAAAGATACGAAAGCTTCCTGTTTAACAGTAAACCTTAAAGGAATTTCAAAATGGTAACTAACTTTTTATAATTTGCCCTAAAATGTGTTTAACACCTCTCTTTCTTTAGAAACAAAAAGATTTTAATATATATAAAAGATATCATAGTACAAATGTGTTTATTAAAGGTCATCAAAGAATTAAAACAATAAATTTATTAAGATTTTAGAAAGAATAAGTTATGTAGGATTCTTTGATATAGCTAACGTTTCTAAGGAATTTGGAATGACAATAATATAAAAAGCCATTTAAAAATACTTTCAATATAGGTTAAACCGTATATTAATGTTTTTTAAACACTTGCCACATAAAGTCAAAATTGAAGTTGTGTTTTCGCTTCTCTTTTCTCCTAAAAATAGTCGAGTAATCAATCTTATTTTCCTTATTTGATTGTTTCCTTAGCTTAAAATTGCTTTTATTCAGCCAGATCTTCTAAGGCTTCACATGTTTTCTTGTAACCTCCCTTGTCTGGATATTCCAGTGCATGGCTTAGTTCATTTCCCTTCTGTCAAGGTTTTTGCCCAAGAGATCTTGAAGGTTTTTGACTCCTTAAAAAGAAAATTACCATGCAAGAAAAACCCTAAACTAAAACTGAGGAATCGAGGCAACCATAGCAATCCAAGCTCAATCCTCTTTTTGCTGCTAGCGTCCTTTTTGCTCCCCAGCAATGTTCGCTTGTCGCTCACGTAATGAAAATGGCGCACATGGAAAACTGGGGAAATTCGAGCGGAGTGGGTGGCGGGAAATGGCGGTGGGCAGGGGGAGGGGCAGGGGCAGTTGCCGAGGGACACTGACGAGAGAAGGCCACCGCGCCAGGACACTCGCTCGCTGCCGAGGACTCACTGAAGCCGAGCGTCAGGTCGACGAGCAATTTTATGAACAGATGTGTGGTAAAATTAATGGACAGAGATAAACTCGGCGAGCGAGTGGAAATGGAAAATCGAGGGTTAAACGCGAAGCGACAGGAGAACGAACCCTGCGGAAAATAAAGAGAGAGCGAGAGAGAGAGCGGGAAAACTCGCTGAGAGAGCGGGAAAAGCGGGCAAAGGTTCGTTTGTTCGGCTTGTTTGGCCAACATGATTTATGATCCTTTCCCAACGAAAAAAAGATAAATATAAAGAAAATAAGCATTGGCCGGGCTGAGTGAAATGCTCGAGTGGAAAACACCAGCGAACTCCACTCAATGTGGAAAAACCACCCCCTAGGAGCTTTTTCCCTCTGCTGCTGCTGCTGCTGCTGTCGGGATTTTCGTGAAAAGCTGTTGACTTCGTTACGCTGATAACTTAAATATGCATGGAAATTTACATACGTGTCAATGGCATTAAGTAGCGTTATGTTATTGGATAAGCTCCATCTAGGCAACAAGCCCCATTTGGCCGTTTTTAGGGCTCTTTTTTTCGGAAGGGGTTTCGCCATAGCTTTTAACTGACTAAATAATACGAGTGTAAAACTGGACTCACCTGAATGCCATGCGCTCCACCGCCCTGTTGGCTAATGTGCAACTGCTGCGTCTGCTTCATCTGCAGCGTGGTGGTTGTGGACTGCTGCTGCTGCGGTGCATTGGAGGTGTTGCCGCCGGGTCCGGCATTCGGATTGTTTTGCTGCCCGTTGCCGGCATTTCCGCGCTGCTGTTGCTGCTGCTGCTGCTGCGGTCCACCGCCGGGCTGCTGCTGCTGTTGCGGCAGATTGCCGGGCTGCTGGTTGCCATTCGGTCCACCTCGTGGCGGGCAATTGAGGAAATTGGCTGCCGCATTGGCATTCTGATTGCTGAACGGCGAGTATTGCTGCTGCTGTTGCAGTTGCTGCTGCGGCACCTGTTGCTGCTGCTGCTGCTTGTTGAAGTTCGGCACGCCACCCATTTTGGGCTGCTGCTGCTGTTGCTGGTGATGTTGCTGCTGCTGTTGCTGCTGCATGGCCTGCTGCTGCTGCAGGCGCTTGAGATCGAAATCGTTTTGAGAGGAATAAAAGAGCTCCTGCTTGATGTCCAGGAAGCTCTGCTGCACATTCATGCCAGCTCCTGGTCCAGGACCCTTCTGGTGGAACTGCGGCGGCAGGTGTTGCTGCTGCGGCTGTTGCTGCTGTTGCTGCTGCTGCTGCGGACCGTTGGGTCCCAGGCCAAAGTCATTGGGGAAGCCGCCACCGTAGTCGTTATAGCGACCCGGCTGTCCTTGTCCCATCATCTGACCATGTTGCTGCTGGGCCTGTTGCTGCTGCTGCTGTTGTTGCTGCTGTTGCTGCTGCTGCTGGGGGTTCATGCCGTGCGGGGGACGGGGAAAACCGCCCATGCCTCCCATGGCATTCTTGTGCTGATGCTGCTCGGCCATTTGTTTGAGTGTCTGAGCGGCCAGCGGATGATCAGACATGAGATTACCAGAGTTTCCACCATTTCCGCCCGCATTATTGGGGGCACCGCCACCTGCGCCGCCATTCGGTCCGTTGGGAAAGCCACCTTGGTTGCCGGGATTGCCGCCGCGCATCTTCATGCCCGAGTTGTCCAGACCCAGGCCAAAGCCACCGAAACCATGACCCAAGCCGCCCTCGGATTTTGCATTCAAGCTGTTGATAAGATCCTGGGCATTCGGCGGCTCTACTTTAATGCCATCCTCCGTCTTGATGTCCAGCAGCGGTTTCTCATCGAAGCCGTCGAGGAAACTGGGATTGAAGTCCTGCAGGTTGTTGATGAGATCCTTAAAGGTGTCGTTGTTCTCCGAGTTGTCGTCGCCGAGGAGATCAGGGAAGCCGGGAAACTGGCCACCACCGCCATCCTTGTCCAGCGAGCCGAGATCGGGGAAATCGTGATCCGGTTCCCGTTTGCACTCCACCAAATTGGCCAGATTGCCTAGCGCGGACTTCTGCTGGGCCGACATCATGTTGGGTGGCATGCCCATGCCGCCAAGGCCGCCGGCCACGCCTCCGGGACCCGTGGCCATGCCGCCGGGTCCCCCGCCACGCCCATTATTGCCGAGGCCTCCCAGACCGCCGCCTTGTTGTTGCTGCTGTTGCTGTTGTTGCTGGTGGTGATCGTTGCCGTTCCCGTTGTTGTTGTTGCCGCCACCTCCACCGCCTCCGTTGTTGTTGTTGCCGCTACCACCTCCACCGCCGCCCCCTCCGCCACCGCCCACTCCTGGTTCACTCTTCACGGACGTATTGGTGAGCGCCTTCACAGTGACATTCGTGCTAATCTGTTGCGGTTGCGAATTGGCCGCGGATGTGGTAAACTCCAGCTGTTGCACTATTTCCACAGAGAATTTGGTTAGATTCTCAGAGCCGTTGTTGTTGCTGTTGCCGTTGTTGGTGCCGTTGCCGTTGTTGTTCGTGTTGTTGCTGTTGTTGCCGGTGTTGTTGCCATTGCTGTTGCCGCCGTTGTTGGCATTCGAGTTGCCATTGTAGTTATTGCTATTGTTGTTATTATTGGGCAACTTATGCGGCGGTTCAGCGCCATTGTCAACATCCTCCGCGGGTCGTTTTAGGATTTTTTGTTGCTAAAAGGGAAAGAGGATAGAAAAAAATAAATTATAAGTTAGTGGGAGAAACCAAAAATATTACAATTAGAGTTTAACAAAATATTTAAGCTCTGCAAAAGCTTATATTCAAAAATATATTCTTAGTAAACATCGCAAAAGATGTATTTTAAAATTAAAGTATTATTTTGAAATTATTCATCTTATTGTTGATTGTTTTTGCAATAAACAGTCTCTACTTATCAAATAAAAGCGAGTGATTCACAAAAAATATTAAACTAATTAACAATTAACTGATTTTCTATAATTTTCTATATTTATATAGAAAAAAACTATCATTAAAATACACAGTTCACAAATAATCTTAATTAAAAGCTAATATAGTTAATGGTATAACCCCACCAATTACTTAAATGATAATCTACTCAGTTAAATGATAATAAGATTTTTTGCAAGTAACATAAAACATATGAAGTTCCCCAAAATCTTACCCAAACATTCATAGATAGTTCGTTTATAGCTTTTTGCTGGTTCGGGCGAAGATTAGTTTAGTTTTTAAGTAGTTCAGACATTAAGAGTCAAGAGTCGAGTTTTGAAAACTTAGTCGAGTTTTGGAAACACTTCGATTTATATGGACACAGAAGTTTGAATAGCTGGGAACTCGAATTCGAGGCGCGTTTCGGTGGATTCGAGTTTGGGGATTTGTGGGGAGATTTTAGGCTGCAACTCGATAGGGATAACTTATCCGGCCAGTGTTGTGTAACGACGTCGACAGTGCTGAGCAGCGTCGAAAGTTTTGCATTTTGTTGCGTTTGCTTCGCGGGCGCATTTGGCTTTTGATTTATTTAACTGTTTTATCCGTCGATCTTTTGTTCTTTTGATTGCAATTTGATTTGTTTAGCTGTGGCGCACACACATTGAGAAATTAAACATAAATTAATCATACACATGTATACCACAATATACCACTGCATTGAAGAGCCTCACGATTCGATTAACACTCAACAACAATGGAATCAACAACAACAACAACATCGCTGACTTGGCAAGAGTAATCGAAAGAAATTCACTTGCAAGACGTGCACAAATTATTGAAAAGCCGTAGCGAAATTTTATGAAAATCGCAAGTGCACAAAGGCAATGGGAAAACAAAAACAAAAAATGTCACAAAAAGTAAAAAAAAAAATTCACAAAAAAACACAGAGGTACCAGAAGAAGCAGAAACAATAACATAAAAGGCAAAGACACTTCTAATCAGTGGCAGAAAGCCAGCGTCGACGTCGGCAGAGGCAGCGACTGCGACTGCGACGGAGAAAAGAGAACCAGAACACCCGAGTATCTGTGTGAACGATTGTGAACCAGTGTGCGTTGTGTTGGCGTCGGCGCTGCTTTTGTTTTTGTTTCTGTTCTGCTTTACTTCAGCGCTTTTCATACCCCTTAATCGTATAATCTGAGGCCATATCGTTTGAAGCCCAGGTTTGAAACAATAAAAGAGTAATTCATACTACTGGATAAAAAATATTGAGTAATAAGATAAAAAATATGTTTTTAATATCCTTTTTATATCTGTTAAAACTTATAATTCCAGTTCACTTCATACTTTATGTGACCTAAGCAGATCACAGCATGACTTTTCTTTAAACAAACAAAAAAAAGTAAGTGTTGCGCTAAAAATTAAAAAAAAAAGGAACAAAGTTTTTAAAAGACTAGTGATCATAAAACTAGTTTTCGAAAACAATGTTTAAAAGGTTTTGGAAATTTGGTTTGCGTTTAACCCATGAAACTGATCTATCATGTAATGGAGTTTATAAATATTCAGAAAATTGTACCTAACCTTAAGAAAGTGTCCTTTAAATGCTAAGCTCCACCAATTAAAACTTAGTGAAACTCGTAAAAACCCACATAATCCTCAAGTATCGGGCAGTCGAAAAAGCTTTACTCAAATAATTTCCACTTGCTTCGCTTGTAAAGTAAAGTGAATAGCAGCGGAGGAGAAAAAAAAGGAAGACGAAGACGAAAAAAGCAAGAAAAACAATCACATTTAAATCAGAATGTGTTTGCTTTTCAGTTTTTATTTTCATACCCCCGCGCAGGCCAAGCGCGCGCGACTTTAGCTGTTTATTTTGTTTTTAATTAATGCAAAATGTATACAAAATAGCCGCGAATAGGCGCAGCAACCAACACAATGACATGTGAGTGGGGTCGCGAGGTGTGCGTGTGTATCTGTGTGAGAATTCAGTGCACACGATATAATACTTCACCGTGGAGAAGAAGCAGAGGACTCGGTTGCAAGTGTGCGGAAAGTTGCGAAATGCTTTGGATAACCGCAAGTGACTCGTTTTGTGGGGTGCACAAGTATTCACCACAATTTTAATATCATTCCTTGGGTCTACCTTACTACAGTGGACATTCAATATTTAGAAAATCTATATTTACTACAGTTGAAAATTGCATTCTTAAGCACCCTATCTTTGATTAGCTTTGATTTTCATCAGCTCATGTCTCAAATTGTAACTTATTTTTCAAAACAACATTTTTTGATGTATACATTCTTAAAGCAAATAAATCTAAAACCGCTAAAAAGCTTTACCACATCATTCACCCCACTCTCAGGTCAACGATAGCCACTCAATCGCAGTTTAAACAATTACATTCGGCTGCAAAACTATCTCCCAAATGAATAACAAAGTGAGTAGCACTCATTACGCATTCACATTCATATACAAGCGCACACTCACGAAACACTTTCGCCTAATAAGTTTATGGCACTTTACAACACTCGAAATGCAATGCACACAATTGGCCCGTTTCGGCCATCTTCACATTTCTCCCTTCTCTCCCATTTCTCCACATTTCCCCCGCCTCTCCTCTCTATTTCTCTGGCTACTACCGTTCATTTCGATACACGCGCCAACACTTTTCCCCATTCGCTTGGCTCATTATGAATAAATGACGTTTCATAAATTTGTTTTTCCCTGCGCCTCTGCTGCTGCTTCTTCTTCTGCTGCCACCATCGATCATGCCGTCTCTTTCACTGCCCTCTATCTGCATCTGTTGTCTCTTTCGCTGGCTGTATCTGTATCTGTGTTTTTGGTATCTTTCGATGGAAACGTGACACAAAGAATGCAAACTTGCGTTGACCAAAAGCGGTGGGAAAAATGCGGGGGGAAATGGAGAAGGGTGCCGGAATATGTAACCTATTGCAAAACAGAAAGAGACGGATATACTCAACCAGAAAGAGAGCGGTAGCTCACACAATTTACAAACTTAAAAGTAATTTAGTTTTTTACGACTCCACTGCGGTAATAAAAATGTTTTGCCCTCTCCTTATTGCCACCCCTACACTACCCATCTTTTCCACCTCTATAACTATAGCATAGTCGTACCCTTTAGCCTCTGCCTCTCCCCCCCTCCCCACCCCTAATTCCCCACTACATTTACTGCATTTACATTTATCGATGCGTCGCCTCCGACGTCGACATCCTCATCTTCGCCTTTGGCTTCGCTCAGTCCTCTGTCCTCCGTCTTCGCTTTTATGTCTTGCTGGTAGTGGGGCTTAATAACTTTGTCGGGGGGTAAGAGTATACTACTGGGGTCTAGGGTATACTGCAAATCGAAGGTTGCGCGCGATAAAGTAGTGGTCACATTGTGACAAGATGAGCCCAAATAAGCCAGAATAATAGGTCACTTTCGGTAATAATTTCATCCAAAAACATTCAAAGATTTTAAAATTCAGAAGGACTTTTCATAAATGAAAATCGAAATTATTTTGTCTTATGTACTTCCATAAAAATTATTGTACCTTTTCCACTTGTAAAACTCACTTTACAGTTAAAATTCCTGCTACTTTTTATTGCTTTTCAAAATAAGTCATATGATAAATTTTCTATTATTATTTTCATTTGTTTTTTTGTCAAAAAAATGTCTTTAGCAACACTTTGAAGTTCAATTTGTTGGATTGCTCAAAAAGAAAGTCAAACATTTCACAGCCTATGACTTGTTTTCTGTAGCTTCTCTCCATCATTCTGTCTCACTCTTTGATATATTTTCTGTTTGCTTTACGCGCAAATGAAATAAAGCAACAGAAATTATGCCGCGAACCTTGACACATTAAAAATAAGCAACAACAAAAGCGTGAGTAAGAAGACGTCACCCATCTCTCTTCCACCCTGTCTCCCCCTCTCGCTTCCTCACCCGCCAACGAGTGCTAGTAAATTTCTGCGTGTAAAAATAAAAATGTGGAAAAGCTTCTTTCCACGTTGGCGACGTTAAGTTTGTATGAATTTTGTTTTCATGATTCCAATGCATAAACAAAAGAGAGCGCGTCCAACGCTTCGTATGATTAATGCGAATTAGCGGCGAATCCAAACCGACACTCTCGGCCACTCAGCACCAGAAAAAAAGGAAAAAAAAAACAATATATAGCTATATAGCAACTAGCCCCAAAACGGAAATCGCCTCGTCCCCAACAAAAAAAAAGCAACAGAAAAACACACACAAATGTTTCGTGGAAAGCCTTCGTTTTGCGTTCGTGATGTTTGATTAGTTGGTTGGGTTGCTAGTTGCTACATTGTATGGTGTATAGGTGCCGAGAGACAGGAACTGGAAGATGATAGAGGAGGAGTCGCCTTGGATTCCTATGAAAATGGCGGTGGACAAGGCCAACGCATAAAAGAGTAGTAATCAAAGAGATTAACATTATTAAATGAACAGGCTCAAATATTAGATTCTCAGAATTCAGCTTCACACATTTTGGGGAAAGTTAAAGACTATCACTAGACATGATCCAGACTTGACATTAAAAAACGAAAGTGCAATAACCTTATCAAATATTAAATTTAAGTATTAGAATACTTTAAAAATATGGGTCGCATACAGATAACAGATGTTTTGGCAGTGCCATTTTTATAAAAACAAAAAAACCCAGCATATCATGTGCCATCGAAGTGATCTTATCAGAGAAATGGGGAAATTTGATTTTAAAAATTCAACATTCGCAAGTTTCAACAACAACGTTGTTCAATTTTAATATCAAAACTTTAGCAGACATCAAATCGTAACTCAAAACCAGAAATTTGTGGTTTAATTTTAATTTAAATGAAATATGCATTTAATTTCCACTTTTTCGCCAGCTCTTTGTCAACCTCTTTTTTCAGCCTTACTCCTCTGGCGCATTTTCTCCTTTGTCAGTGTCCCATCATTTATTCACAACAATTAATTAAAAGTGTAACTTAAAACGTCCGCTCAAGTGTCAGCCATAACAGAAACCCCCTCACCTACCCCCTCGGCACTACCCACTATCCACCACCCACAGCCTACCGCCCACCACCCAGCGAGCCCCTCCAATTAATTCCTGGTTATTTTAACCATTTCTTACCCCATATTTGCCCGACACATGCGGCGTATGCGTAATGTTTTGGCCTTGTTTAGCGTCCTACTCTTTGCAGCCCCTCCCCCACCGCTTTTCACCCCCCTCCTTACTTACTCGCATTACATTTTCCATACTATTAATTTTTTGTACATTATTAAAAAGTGGGTGGCAGCAGTAAAATAAAATCGGAAAAAAATATATATGAAGTGAATTATAAATCATTATTCAAGTCATTTAACTGAGCGGGCGCACAGAGCCCAATGGGAAATTATGTTTACCAAAAATTAATTAAACAACAGTAACAACAGAAAACGCAATAAAAGTAAGATTAATGTAGTCGCAGGCAGCGACGCCAGCCGAGGCAGTGGCAGCATCAATTTCCGCAACGCCAAAAGGCTAAGCCAGATTTCTCGGTTTGGTTTCAGTTTGCTTGTTGCTCGCTCTAAGGCAATTGTTGCTATTACTATTGCTGTTGTTTTGCCTGAGAATTCCTAGACGCTGTTGTCTCTCACTATACAATTATACACGAAAAGACAAAAGCGTGGAAGTAGTTCTAGGAGTTGAGTAACTCTGGAATACTCTAGAATATTAAAACTGGGAAAATATATGATGTACAAGGCAATATTCTGTTCTACCAATACAGCTCGCCATAAACATAAGCTTTCTTTTAACAAACCTACATTTAGAAAACAAAACTAGATAAGAAAAAACAGATATTTTGAATCCCAAAACTACTTATATCAAGTATCATTGAAAACTCCTTTTTCAATATAATTTTTAAAGCCTACTTTTAGGCACCCTAATGATTGTTTTAATATTAAACAAGATAACCGGAACACCCCTGAATAACGTACAACAAATGCCTAGCCAAAAACCCGTTAAAGAAAATGTAGCGAAAACAAACCAATTATATAAATGTAACAGCAGGTAGATATCTAAATCCCCCGCTGATTACCATCGAAATTTGCATAATTCAAAACCGTTAATCAGCCCAATTGTTTCCACATTGCAAGCCCATTAGTATATGCACATCTTTATGAATATGTGAGTGCAGATACACAATTCCAAACGTGTTCTACTTCATGGCATTGTGAGCATGCCCCACTTTTCGGTGAGGGCATAACAAACGACCAATTGCTCGCTCAGATCTGTTCCTCCTTTTCCACCACTTCTTGGCCACTTGTCTAAGCAATATGCGTAACACACACTGAGGCAAACCAGAATGCACACACATCCACACACACACAACCACAGTCACGCGGAGAAATCAAACAGAAACAGAATTTCAGTTTGGCTTCAGCGAAAATATTCACTTTGATATTTTAGCAGGCAACTAAACATTAAATTAGATAATTTATGAAAAACAAAATTATGCAGAGCGAGAAAATTCCCAAACGGATTTACTGTAATGTAATTAATGGTTTCAATCGAGCCAAAAGAGTGGGAAAAAACAGACACACGCACACTTTTTGCTCAATTTTCCTTCTGATTTATTTAGCACTTTTGATTTATGATTTTTAATTTCTGCCATTTTACGTCTTACGTGAATCTTATGAAGTCTGCACCTAATAAATTTGCATTTGCTATGCACAATTTCCCGCACGAGAACCATAAACGAAATAAACGAATAAAATGTCAAATAAATAAACCGGACTGAGGATAGGGGGATGAGCTAAGGCTCATTAACATAAAGCTGAAGATCTTGTGAAATATTTTCATGAAAACAAAAGTTCTGAACTGGGATTTTGTATACTAATGTATATAACTCTTATTTTGATCGCCTTATAAAATCAATTTTGTTTTGCTAACTAAGCCAATTTTGCACTGATAACAAAGTTATTTTAAAATTGTTTATATATTTTTTCTCAGAAACTCATATAATTGTTGCCCTTTACTAACAAATCGTCACAACAGTTTTGCATATATTAGTTTAATCACTGAATCTGATAAGAACATTTGCGTAATTTTTGTTTATTGGTTTGCATAAAACTAATTTGTTTCGTTTTAGTTTTCACTTTTCACACACTAACATTTTTTATCACTCCAACACTTTATTTCTTCATTAAGTTTAAGTGCATTTTTTTAAGTATTTCTTTTTAATTTGTTTCTTTTGTTATGTTGCTGTTGGCGTTGATGTTGCTGTTGTGTTTTTATCGCTGAGGGAACGAACCGCAAAAAAAAACGCACAGCTTTTCTTTGGCTAGTGTTGCTGTTGCTGCCGTGCGGCTATTACTGCTGCTGCTGCTGCCGCTGGTGTTGCTGTTGCTGGTGTTGCTATTGCTGCTGCTGGTGCCTCAGCTGCTGCTGGTTTGTCGTGCGCCGTTTGGCAGTCGGTTGAGTACTGGCACGAGCCGCTGTCAGCGAAACCAAACGAACCGACTTCGACCGACGAGCGACGCCAGCAGCAGCAGCGGCAGCGGCAGCAGCAACACCAGCAACAACACGACAGCAACAGCGACGCCGGCAGCGAGAAAGTTTGCTTTTTGCATTGTTGCAGCGCTGCGATGAGTGAGTATCTGTGTGCGAGTGGGTGGGTGATAGTATGGGTGTTGCTGCGGGGATGTGGCTGCGGGGTTGTTGCTGCGGGGATGTTGCTGTTAGCCCTAACAGACGGCTGATAAGCTGCTGCTGCCGCTGCTGTTGCTGTTGCTGTTAGCATGTTGCATGTCAGCTGCTCTCTCTTTCTCTCTCGCTCTTTCTCTTGACTTTCATGTTGAAACCAATTCGTTTGTCATTTGTTTAATGACACAAATATTTGCACAAAGTGTTTGCATTTATGTATGCCGCGACAACCTGTCTTGCCCCCTTCCTCCTCCTGTCCCTCACCCTCCCCATCCACTCCTCGCTTGTGTTTTCAATTTCCATTTGGGCGTCATGAAAGTTTTCCCTCAATTTGTATTTGTGCCATAAATTTGATTACCACTAATAGACTAATAATAATCCGACTAATGATCGTCGTTTCTTTTTTTTTTGGGGTTTTCTTGGGGGCTTTCAGGCAAATTGAATTCGCTTCTAGTTTGATGACTGTTAAATTGGGTTGAGCCTGCAAGGACACTCGTCGAAATCCTACCCAAAAGCCAGGACAACGTGAACAACTAAATAAGGAAGTGACACCGGAAACAGGCAGCGACGTCGACGTCAAAGGAATGCGCAAAGGAATTTGAGAGGGGGTTGGAAAATGCGGGGAGGCGGGTTTTGGGTTCAGGAACCACTCAAAAATCGAGTGAGTCGATGAGTGGAAACCTCTCTCTTTATCTCACTTTTTTTCTTTTTTTTTTTTGTTGTTGCTCGTTTACAAGGCAACGACACCGGCCGGCTGAAACTAGTTAAGGCCACCAACAACCCTCTTCGCTGGCCACAGCCTCCCCCTGCCACGCCCCCCTTGCCACCGCTTCTACCAACGCTTACAGCTTAACCTATAAAAAAATTCCGCAAGCCCAACAACAGCAACATCCACAAATGGGAACACTCCGCATGCGAAAATGTTCTTTTGAGCTCTCTCGGAAAATCTGGGCGCCTGTTACACACGCAACGAAGTTGCCAACACAAGCTCACATGTACGCACACTCCACTGCAAAGCTGTTGCTGCTGCGGCGATGTTGCTGCTGCGATGATGTTGCTGTTGCTGCTGCTGTTGGTGTTGCCGCTGTGTCAGTGCCGTTCATTTGTTTGATTTTGTTGTGATTATGCGCAGTGCTTCGGCGACAGCGACGCCGGCAGAGGCGTCGTGGTAGTCAGCGACCCATGGAGGGCATTTGGGAGCACAACAACAGCAGCAACGGCAGCAGCAGCAACAACACCGCAGCAACATCGGCAGCAACAACAGTCAGACGGCGAGCAACTGAAATTCTCGCTCCGAGTTGCGATACACTTGGACAATTCGAAAATGTGATAAGGTTTGCTTGTGGCACTTCGATTTCTGCCAGATTCTGATTTCAAAACATTCTGGTTTTCCCCAGTACTTTAAATATACAGAGCTTAAAAATGGAATAAAACTAGAACTCTGGAAGATGATTACGATCTTAAATGACTAGGTTATTATAACGGTCTTATATAAATTAAAATAAAAAGAAACAGTGATTACCGGAAAGAGTAAACACTCCACTTAATTAACTCTTCAAATAGTCATTAAATTCGGAGGGAATCTACATATGATATAGATACTAATTTAAACGAAAAAGATTTCGGTATACTATTTTTAAATAAAGTTCCCTATTTTCATTAAAAATAAATTACATTTCTGAAAACAACCATACAAATGCTGATTCCGCAGGGTGTTTGGCTCCACCTTTTCCCTTTTAAATCATTTTGACATGAAATTTCTCCAATATATATTTTCTATCGTTAAAATTTAGACATAAAGCTCCAAGATTTTTTCCAGCTTCAACCATAATTTACAATCCCTGCTCTTGCTAGTGTTTGGCGATAAATATTTGTTGCCCTCCGCTGTTATTCTATATATTCCGTATACCCAGTACTGTCTGTTGCTTCAACTCACGGCTGTTGGCTGCTGTTTGTGTGTCGTAAAAACTCATTGCCAGTTTGGGGCGTCGCTCAACTGGAAATGTGGCCAAGCCGAAGCTGAAACTGAAGCTACGGCTAAAGCTAAAGCTGAAGCTGAAGCTGCAGGTGTCTGTCTAACCAAGTCATCTCACATGCTCGTATATACTTTTGTATATATATATGTATATAAATACATAGTGGATGTGCCAGCCCCTATGTAATTGCGTTGAGCATTTCTTTGTGCGGCTTAATTAGTGGCTGGCAGCCAGCCTGTTTTTCACTTTTGAGGTTTATAAATGATGTTCGCAGAAGCACAGCTCGGGTCTATTGGCAGCTCAATTTAAAGGCCGAAACGAACAGTTACAACGAACAGCACAGTTACGATTTTGTTACTAGACATATGTCCTCCATTTCAAATGGCCATTTTCGGGGCGGGAACATGGTGGTAGCGAATCGAGAAGCGACTGAAGGAGTGCGAGGTGATCTCCTTGGTGGGCGTGAACTCCGCCCGTTCGATAATCGCCCGCGGACTTCCAAAATTCAACAGCCAGAACTTGAGCTCGTTGACCTTGGGCAGAGTGCCCTCCAGTTGCCCCTTGACCGTGCCCTCGTCCGTGTTCATCACCCATCCGCGCACCTTGTTCAAAGTGGCCAAATCCCGCGTCTGCTTCCTTAGGCACACGCCCTGCACTCGTCCAAAGATCTCGAACCCACACGTGAAGATCTGCTCCGTCGGCTGTATCATGGTTCTACTCGGGTTCTCGTAATCAAATCCAGTTGTGTAAATTTATTTAATTTTTGTCAATTCTATGGGTAATGGTGCCGGAAGTTACTAGTTTTTAAAGTGCCAGAGCCTGCCTTTTTTGGGGTTTGGAAATATACAGTGAGCTCCAATACTTTGCAATTTGGAAAGCCATAATATACTCATCATTTCCTAACCTTGGATTTGGATTAATAATCTAGGACTATTCTTAAGTAAAAAGCATCGAAATTTAAATGAAATTTTATCAATTTAAAAATGTAATTGAATAAATGCAAAATATTTATTATAAGCTAACAAAAGGTAAATTTGTATTAATTTGCAATAACTAATTATCTTTCAAGCCATTTTCGCTATTGATGTTACATTAATGACTTTTCCTTACTTTCAATCGGATTAATTTAAAATTGGCAATCAAAATATAGAGTTTTCATCTACAAAACGCATACTGTATCGAGGAGGACGCTAATGACATTGTATCTATTGTATATCCATCGCGTATAGCGTATCCCATATCAGCACGGGGGACTCATAAATCACTTGCCACACTTGCTCGCACACTCACATGCGACGCCAAGTTCATCTCATGGCAATCCAATCAACTGGCAATGCCACAAAAGTTTGCAACCACCAAACAGAGGCGAAACCCTCCCCCCCTTCCCCTTCCCCTGGCACCCCAACCACCCCCTCGATACCCACGAATCCCAAACAGCAAAACACCACCTATGGGCAGCGAACAATAACTAGCGAGATAAACAGACAACATTCGGCGTTAATGCAAACGCGAAACGCCGACATCGCAGGCGATTCTAAGGCAAATATTTAATACGATATTTATGGCCTAGACGTAGAAGTAGGAGCAAGGGAGATAGACAGACAGAAAGAGAGCGAGGACATTAGAATGAAGTCCAGGGAGCTAAGGTATTTGCAAAAGAAGCCCTTGATAAATGACTTCAGCTACAAGTACCCCGTCCCATCTCCTTAATATTGCTTTTCCGAAGGCTACATAAATTATATTTTTTCACAATTAAGCCCAGTTAAGGCCATCGTTTAGCTTATAGTCAATACAAGACTGTTTAGTATATAGCGGAGGTTAATCATTTTTAACTCCCAATGGAATAAACCTGATAGTTTTTTTTAAATAAATATTATTTAAAGATATTAAAACAATTTAACTTTCATAACACCATAACTTTCCTGCCTCGAAAGTTGATCGAGCTAGTTCTATGCACGTAAAATATATTCCTTAAATCGAATTTCGACTGCTTTGTCTAATATTTTAACGGGGATTCCTATTTATTCTACCAAGTTTGGGATTAAGCTCAAGCTTTGGATATATAGTCGCTTCATAGAATATTTTTCTTAAAGGGTATAGAAATTGACGTTCAATTTAATTAAGCAATCATTTCCTACACCATACTACTTTTACAGGTGGCGAAATGACCCTAACGCTTTCAAAATTACTTAACCAATTCTGGCAAAGTGGAACCAAAGTCTTCTAATTATCCATCCAAGCCAGCACAGTGTTGTAATTTGTTGTCCAACAGTAGCTCAAACCAAGAGATTTTCTTCCAAGAGCTTTTCCGCCTGCACTAGCCATTCCTAAGTGAGCTGAAATATGTGGAAATGGCCCTAAAGCTGCCAATTTTGTTAAGCGAATTTTAAAGTTTTCGCAAAGTGGAACCAAAGGCTTCAATTTGGCCGGCATACTGTGGCCAATCCAACTCGAACTCTGTCGTGTGCCCATTCAAATGAAACAGCACGAGCCTCGGGTTCGTTTTGAGTTTCAGGCTGAGTTTCTGGTTGAATCCGCTGTTGCCGTCGACGCCGAAGTCGCCGTCGCTGTGGCATTCGCTGCCGGCGTCACTGTCGACGTCCGTTCGATATTGTTGTTGCCGAGCCGAAGGTGAGCAAGCCAAATCAAACAAACCGAAGCGCAGCAAAATGGGGAAAAAAATAAGTTGAAACGCTTCAAGGGATTTCGCATGCCTCGGTGTTGTAGCTACGGGTATAGGTATATCTATAGGTATAGCTGCTCATGTTGTTGCTGCCAGAAACTGCGCTTCAATTGCGACAGCAGCAGCAACGGCAACAACAACAACTACAACAAGAGCCAAGTCGGTAAACAAAACTCGGCTTCTCTGAAGGCAAACTGCGTGAAGTGGGAGAAAAAAGAGAGGCAGTCCAGAGAGTGAGAAAAAGAGGGATCTTGCTGAATGGATAAATAACAGATAAGCCTAAATAACAGGGAATTTCACAGTAATAAAGTTTACTAAGAAAAGGGGAATCCTTAAAATCAAAAGTTATTCAAATTGCATATGTATAAGTCCCTACATTAAAAAATGAAGTTATTTTCCATGTTTTTCAACCTCTGGGAATATAAACTTCACAGTATAAAAATAAAATATACTTATCTGGAATTCCAATTCTCTAGAGATGTAGATTTCCCTTGATTTCAAAATCACTTTGGTATAATTAGAAATGAAATGACTCAAGTTATTTTCTTTATACTCGTAAATATAATACTTTAAAAGAGTAATGCAAATCATTTTTGGATGGAATTTCATAATAATCCTACCGATTTCCTATTATGTCCTTCAACAATTTACTTTTAATAAGGAACATTTTTTGTATGTTCAAGTTCCTTATAAGTCCAAGAATTTCTTCATATTTTTTGTATCTTTCAGAAAGTTTTGCGGCCAAGCCAAACGGCGCCAAGCGCACACACACACAAATCAAATCGGAAAAGGCGAAACAAAAATAACAACAAGAACAGCAGCGGCGGCGGCAAGAACAACAATTAAATCGAATTGGAAATTAAAAATAAAAAGTACAGTCCTCGCTCTTCCCCAAGCCCAAAGCGTTTTCCCCGCCGTTTTCCAAATTGAATTGAAATGCAAACGAAAGCTAAATACTAAAATTAGCTTAAAATAAGTAAAGCAGACGGGGCAATAACAACAAGTGAATAGAAAATCAAAGCGAAGCATATAAAACAGCGATAATTCAAACGCAAAATGTAAACACTTCAAAGCTGAGAAACGGGGAAGGCGGGTGGAAAATTGAGGAAAAGCTGAGAAAATACAACTACAGTTGCATAGGAAAATCGGAATAACAAGAAAAAGAAGTGGGAATGGATTGGAGTCGAAAAGGGGGAGTGGGAATGGATGGATGAGTTGGGGGGTCGAAGTATGAAGGCTTGACTGCGCCTTTAATATCTCACTCACTCACACACGCACAGTGATTTGTTTACGCAAATGACACAATTATTATTCCGTGCAGATAAAAAAATTATAGCCAATAGAAAAATAAAAACTCGTTAAAATAGGAACCCAAAAAACGGTTAAAAATCATTCCAACCGACATTATATAATACAAATTAAAATATTTTTTTTGATAAAAAAATTCATTGTTAAATATCATATTAGAATATTCATAAATGTTACAAATCAAGGAGTGATTTATTATTAACTGTTTTTTAATGAAAATTAAGCGAATTAACTTATGGTAAGTATTATTCAATCCAAATGTAAATCCAAATTTTATATTATATTCAGGTAAGAAATTATATTACCAACAAATTATACATTTATTATGTAAAGTGTACTAAAACATCTACCGAAGCTGAGCTTTTCTTGTCCAAGATTTTCCCTGATTCCAATCCGATTTATCTATGATGTATGACCAAGCATTCCAGAGAATCCAATCAGAGAACTGTTATACACACTCGCTCACTGAGCTGTCCTACGCTGCGTATACGTAACCCGTGATCTTGTCTTCAGCTTATCAAAATAACTCGGCGATGATGCAAACATTCCAGCTATGCCGATGCCGATTCCTTAATACTCAAATACTTAGCTTAACTTACGGTTTTATCTGCACTTCATGCATATTTACACGAAACAACAATGCGACGATGGGACTGAAGGGGGAAACTCACCTGCAACGAGAGGAAAGGAGACAAAATACTGATTAGCCACAAATGCAGCGTAAACGCAATGAGAATGATAAATTAACTGGCTAAAAATACAGCAACCCAACAACAACAAAATCACGTCAGCGGCCAAATAAGGCAAACAATTGCAAAAATCTGCATGTTGCCGTCGCTGCCTGCGTCAGCGTCGCAGTCGACGGTCTAAAAATATTTCACTCGGCTCGCTTAGAAAATCCAAAATTAGCTGGCATGGCGTGCGCACAAAATCCAAAATGAGGGACACAGAACTAGGCACAGTGGCCTGAACTCTCTTCTTAGTTGGTTAAAAATCAAGAAAGTCAATAATTTTGTCAATAAAACCTGATTTAATTTTTCTCCTAGTGATTGAATTTAGAAAGTTGTAAATCTACTAAAACCACTTTTCAGAAAGAAATTTAATACATTTAGAAATTACAATAATAATCGTTTTGTTTTGTTCAATTAAGTATAAAATTTGTTCTTCAGGATTTTCACTACTTTATTGCGAACTAAATAAATTATAACCTTTTTATTGTTATTGGATTCGGTACATCTACGTCCTTTCTATCCTTAGATGTACATAGGTATAATTTTCTGTATTAATGACATAAGTATCATTTTAAAAACACTAGTTAAAATATTAACTTATTAGAAAATACGTAGGGAAAATTTCTAAAATTTACCACCACTGTGTGGCGTTAGTGGCGTCACCGTTGAGCGGCGGCAGAGGCAGTCGCAGCGACGTCGACGTCGACAGCGTGCGACAGCAGGTTGGCAGAAAGTCTGCCACTGATAACGGGAAATGGCATGCCAGCAACAGCGGCAGCAAAAGCAGCAACAATAAGGAGAGCCATCGACATTCTCTCACTCTCTTGCCGGCTCTTTCTCCCCACTTACTCTCACTCACTCACTAACACACACACCCACACCATCACACTCAATGACGCGCTCTCCCTCGTTCGCAGTGGCCATGTCTTCCATGCTCTCGTGGCTGGCAACGCTCACGCCAAAATAAACAAAACAAATGTAAAGTGCGCCCCCTTTAGCAATGTAGTATACACTGAGAAAACCATGTATGGATTTTAACCATGTTTTCTTTTGGTTAGTTTATTTAAGGGAGAATAAAGGATTACAGAAGTAATTACTCATAAAGAAAATTAATCAAATGTTTTGATATAATATTAGTTAAAGCTGAATATTATCATTTTTTAACTTTATGATACCAAAGATGCAATGACCTGTGCGATTGTGCTAAAAAGTAGACTCAACCAAATTTCGCATTCAATTTTTGGGGATACATTTTTTGTAGCATACTTCAAGGAACTATTTTTGATTTTAAGCTTGGTTTTTGTGTGATAAATAACAAAGTGATAAGAATGATTGTATTTTTCAGTGTGTATGTGAAAAGCGGGCGCAGGCCTAACCGCCACCTCCCTCCCCCAAAAAAACCACCCAACCACCTAGGACAAGCCATGAAAATAAATATGTGGGCATAACAAAAATGAAAATTGTACGCGAAATGTGCCGCAAATGGCAGCAGATTTGCCATTAAAATTTACAAAGGGTCTTTCTCCGTGTTTCGGGAACCGAGTGGAAACCCGAGCGAAAGCGGGGAATAAAGAGGAAGACAGGGAAATCGAGAGAAAAGAAAACAT